GGAAATAATGTTTTTAAGGAAAGTGTATAGACTTTATTATCAAAAATAAAAAATATTTTTGAGAATGTCTGTTTTTTGGGTTGGCAAAGAGATCAGCGGAAAGATATCAACAATAAAAAGCTTTTATTTTTTTTCTTTAAAAAAATATATACTTATATATACAGTATTATAAAGATTTTTTTTTTTGAATTGATCTAAATTTGCTTAAATAAATATAAATTTGTAATTTTAATTAATTAATATTATAAAAAATTTTTTGACTAAATAATAATAATAATAATCTTTAAGTCGCAATAAGTTTTAAATCAATTTTGATAATTTTATTACTATTAAATCAGAAAATTTTATTTTACAACTTTTCTTAAACGTATAAAATTTAACATTTACCATCAACTTTACATATACAGTAATTATATTTTATCTTTAATTATGAATATAATAAATAGAGAGCTTTATTTTGAGTGTGATGATAAACAGTGTTGAAATATACTGTATATACAGTAAATATTTTTTATACAAAACAATTGCGTCACGCGTTGTGGCTTATCCGGCTTGTTTATTGGTTATATAACAAATTTTCAAAGTTCAAACTTTTTATTTTAACCTTTTTTCTTGTTTAAATGAAAAAAATTCATTCTTCCCGCGAACTTTCAAACATTTCTGTTTTGTATATCTATAAATTGGACTTTTAAGAATATATCCACGTGGTCGACATTTTTGATACAATTCTTCGCTTGTATAGAGACGTACTAAGTCAAGTCAATTATTAAGAATATCTAGACGTTTTCAAAACTTTCAAAATATGTATGGAATGAACCTTTATGGTTCAAGGATTGCCACTGCCGTTATGATAGAATTAAATTTGAGAACACGACACTTTGAAGCCATAAGATCCATTATTAGGAGTATGAAAACTAATCAAGATATTGCAAACATTTCTATCGCTTCAACGTCCAGTATCTCGAAGACTGATGAAATAAAAAAATATCGCGAGTACTAGTGGCTTATGAATAGTAAATCAGAACAGATCATAGAATTTATTTTTTATGGATCAATAGGGTATAAATTTTTTAGTACCTTTGAATTGAATTTATACACGTGTCTATTGATTTTATTAATATAAAATATTTTTTTCTTTTTCATTAGATATGATGACATTCGAGTATTACGATACACGCGCAAAGTTTTGATCTGACGAGTTTTTTAATAAAAACGAAAGGCCTCATCCTTCTCCTTTACCATTCACAAAACCTTTGCACCGGCTATAAAATTCACTAAGAAAAATTTTTATTTTTCTCGTCTATTTTTAAATTATAAGGAACACGTGATATATCACTTTTATAGCAATTAAGCAAACACAATTAGATATTATAGTTAAGTTATATACAGTATATGCTATCATAACGTGTCAAACACGTGAACTTATGCGTAAAATATTTCAAAGTATTTAAATAATAAACTTATGTACATGATAGAATATTTAGAGTTAAATAAAACATCAAGAGGTCACCTTTTTTCCTCCTGACTTCTAACCTTAATTCTTTTATTCGCATCGATGATTTGTTTTCTCTGAATTGCACTTTCTTTTTTGGTATACATCTTCAGAAGATCGTACTCTTTAGAACTATGCTTCACCATTTTCATAGCCATTTCTAAGTCTTTCATTTCACTTGCTGCATAAATATTCTCCAATACCCATTTGATTTTGTCAAGCCTATCCATTTGATTCACACCCATTGTTAATATCAAAATGCTGTATCCACTATTGTCTCTTTCTTCCGAATTAACACCATACTGGCATAATAGATCAAATATACTTTTTGACCAATTATACTTAACCGCCATATATAAAGAATTGGGTGCTATAAACTCCCTTATATGGACTCTAATATTTGGGTTGGCTCCGTTTCTCAACAATATCGAAATAATTGCTTCGTATTTTCTTTGTAAGGTGGGATTACTTTCCTCAAGATAGTACGATAGGATTGTTTTTCCTTCGCTATCTAAAGCATCGATGTTACAACCATTTTCTACAAGGAAACCGATAGCTTTTTTATAATTCTCTTTTACGGATTCGTTGATCTTTTTGTAGATAGATTTATTTTCAAACAAATGATGAAGTGCCGTCTTGTTTGAACCACTGGAGACCACGGAAAAAACTGCATCGTATTGTTTAAGTCTAAAGAGTAACTTATGCATCAACTCTATGCCACAATATCTAACCGTGATGACCACAAGAGATTCCGTAATATTTAAGAACTGATACATATCATCTACTTTAGCACCAAGCTCGAGATGGTCTACCAAGCCCTCCGTATCTCCAACACTGACGTGATATCCAGCATGACATTCGGTAGGTTCAACATAACCCGTCTCATTCCTATACAACTTGGAATATTCTGCGAGCGCTTTTTTGCATCTTGCCTCCTTTTGTATAACCTTGAATTATAATAGGAGAAATATGTAAACATAAAATTAAAAAAAAAGATTCGTATGTTAAATATCTACTTACGGGATCAACTGGTATAAAAAGGGTCGAATTCTCTGGAGAGTAGCCGTTGGGTTGTGGGGGTTGATTTATTTGAGGAGGAAAATCGTTTTGTCTTGGGGGTTGATTCATTAATGGAGGGATACTGGTTGATTGTGGAGATTGATCCATTTGTGGAAAAAATGTGCTTGATTGTTGATTTGTCTGAGGAAAACTGTATGGTTGTGATACTTGACCCATTTGCGGAGGGAAATTGTTTGGTTGAGGAGATTGACTGTTTTGCAGAGGGAAACCGTTTGATTGAGGAGGTTGATACATTTGTGAACGAAAATCATTTGATTGTGGGGGTTGGTTCATTTGTGGAAAATAGTTTGATTGTGGGGGTTGGTTCATTTGTGGAGGATAACCGTTTGGTTGTGATTGTGGGGGTTGGTTCATTTGTGGAGGATAACCATTTGATTGTGATTGTGGGGGTTGGTTCATTTGTGGAGGATAACCGTTTGATTGTGGGGGTTGGTTCATTTGTGGAGAATAACCGTTTGGTGATGGATTTTGATTCACTTGTTGTAATGGATTAATCCTTAAAGGTGTCGAGTTTTCCTGGGGATATCCAGGATATCTGGGGTTTACTTGTGGATTAAACTGAAGAGGTGTCGAATTTTCCGGAAATCTGTTGAATGGTGAATTGTTCATATAACCGATTGGTGGATAAAGAGGAATTGAGGTAGGAAAGGCAAGAGGTGGGTTATTAGATGGAAGAAATGTCGATAAATTTTGTGAATGTGGTAATGCCGATGAATTTTGTGAATGCGGTAATGCCGACGAATTTTGTGAATGTGGTAATGCCGATAAATTTTGTGAATGTGGAAATGCCAATGGATTTTGTGGATATATTAAGGTGGGAGGAAGTTGGTTTTGATCGAGATTTTGGAATTGTGTTTTTTCATATTTTGGTCTTGAAGAGATATCGGGAGGTTTCTCAGTAAGTATATTTCCTCGGCTGTCTCGATTCGTAGACGGTGAAACTTCATGGTTAGGGTATCTCAAATTTTGGTTAGCTGAATAATCACCGGGGATAGGAGAACTTGTACTATTTTGATAAATTCGAGGGCACTCCAATTCATTCGGTTTGTTTGAACTAATTGGATCACTGTTTCGTTGGTGAATAGTTTGCACTTTTTCTTGTAAATCTATTGATCTAGGATGCTCAAAAGTAGGTCTATTTGGGGTAAAAGTTGAATCAACAACCCTTCGTTCCTCAAGCATTCTCGCAAGTTCATTATGTACATATGCAATGGATGGTCGTATTTCTGGTTCATCACTCCAAGAGAGTTCGTATATCCTTTGATAGTCAGGCGGAGTTCCCATAATTGGTACCTCCCTTTTCTTTTGATTAATGGCAGCGTTTACTTTGAAAATCAATATGCTGTCGAATGGAGGTTTACAACTTGATATTTCCCATAGTATAACGCCTAAGCTATATATGTCTGAGGCCTTATCTTTTTCGTAAGAACCCCTGAGACATTTTGGTTCAATGAAGGCAGTCAAATTAACATCGGGTATATTTTCTTTGCAAGATTTTGTAAAGCAATGATCGGTAATCTTCATTTGACCACCGCACACTAATA